ACATAAAAACACAAAGTAAAAAAAAAAATTAAAAAAAAAAACACAAAGTCCTGGAACACAGAGCTAGCACCACGGGCTGAGTGCAAGCTTGGTAGGCAAGAGGTCCAGGTTTGATCCCTGGTACTGCATGGTCCCCCAACACTGCCAGGAGTGACTCCTGAGCACTGAACCAGATGTGACCCCAAAACACAAACAGGAAAAATACAGAATCCTTTATCATCCCAAAAAAGTACTGTGGGTGGGGAGATGAGACTAAATTGAAAAACATTTAGAGAACTATATGAAGAAAGCTGTAGTCAGGTGTGCAGCTGTGTGATATGAAGTGAAGCAGGGATTCAGCTAAAGGATCAGTGTGTTGGCAGATCAGAGTCATCAGAGAAAGTTTCATGAAGGAGAGCTGGGATTTGAGTTTGCGGAGAAGAAACACAGGAAAGGCATTGCAGATAAGAGGTCACAGCATGATCAGAGCTGTGGGAACAGGAATGAGTGGGGTAGTTGGGAGCAGGAGAAGGAGAAGAGCTTGAATAGAGTATAAAATTCCGCCAGGGGAGTAAGGAGCAGGAAGCCTTAGAGTTGGCAGTTTGAGAGAGGGCCTCAAGTGATTGTGCAGATTGAGAGGATCCCAGAAAGGGATTTGGTCAGGAAGTTGGAGTGATAGACCCGTTGAGAGCTTAATATGGAATGTGAGGGCTGGAATGGTAATCAAGCAGGTAGGGCACTTGCCTTGCTTGTGACCAACCTGGGTTTGATTCCTGGGACCCCATGTAGTCCCTCAAGCACTGCCAGAAGTGATTATTAAGTGCAGAGCTAGGAGCAAATAAAAAAAATTGATAAAGAATGTGAGCATGGAGTGCCTAGGGAAGCTGATAGAAGGCTTAAGATATGGGGCAGCAATTAGTCTGTTGAAATGATATACAGAGTAGGAGAAAGGAAGGTTTAAGGAGTTAACACGAACAACAGCCGCCAGTAACACACGGAACAACAGCCGCAGCAGTAACAAAAGCAACCTGAATCCTTGTTTCAAGAATAGAATACCAATACGTACTAACTTTTTCCATCGTGGTGGGGAGGTGCTGGAGATCAAACTTGGACCTCATGTGATCAAGGTAAGTGCAGAAATTCAGCCTCGGCCCAGGACTCTTCATTTCATAAGAGGAAAATAACTAACACAGCAGAGAATTTCCATACCTCTCAAGGTATGAGATGAGGCCCTAAAATGGGGTGTTGTCTTTGCCCCTTATCCTCCAGCCTGGAAGATCATCAAAACCCAAATCGGTTAGTGACAGAAAATGAATGAAATTATTTGGACATTTCTTTCAGATTCAATACTTAGAGCTTTGGCTCTTCCCCACCACAGCTTCCCTTCCCCCAGGTCTTTACCTCTGAACCACTTACCCTTGTAGGTTTTCGCACCAGACACTGCAGCAAGCACCCATGATAGGTACCATGACTCCACTGAGTGCCCAGGGGGTCCAGGCCACTGTTCGATCAACTTCCATCTTACCGGAGCAGCAGCAGCAGCAGCAGCAACAGCAGCAGCAACAGCAGCAGCAGCAGCAGCAACAGCAACAGCAGCAGCAGCAGCAGCAGCAGCAGCAGCAGCAACAGCAGCAGCAGCAGCAACAGTACCACATTCGGCAGCAGCAGCAGCAACAGATCCTGCGGGTGAGGCCCTAGGATTTTGCCTGGGACCTGGGATGCCCAGGAAGAGGAGGAAGCATAAACTCCCCAAGTGGTACCAGGACAGAATGTGGGTGTATGCCAAGCTCCCAGCAGACCCTCTCACACATGCTAGGGACTTCAGCTGTTCAGACTCATCTCCCCCTGCTTGTTTTCTGGAAGCCCTGGGGGAGAGAGGTAGGGCTTGTCTTCTGGAGACTCTCGACTTGGCTTCTTTCTCTGCAGCTCTAAGAAAGGTGGGAAGTAGATGCAGAGTTCCTGTTCTCTTTTCCTACCTCTGTCCCCCTTCCTGCAGCATGTGGCTACACGTATGGCTCTCCTTCAGAGAGGTCTCTTTTCTGTGTTCATAGCAGCAGCAGCAACAGCAGCAGCAGCAGCAGCAACAACAGCAGCAGCAGCAGCAACAAGCACACCAGCAGCAGCAGCAGCAGGCAGCGCCGCCCCAGCCCCAGCCCCAGTCTCAGCCCCAGGTAGCTGCCAGAGCCCCTGTGTGGGTGTAGGGCAAGCAGCTATAGAATCGGGCCAGAGGTGGTTTGCAGGGGGGGTCGAGAGGCAAGATGATGTGTGACTCTCTGAAAAAGAGGACTGAAGTAGACCAGAGAGCTACAGTGGGTAGGGCACTTTCTTACCTTGCATGCAGCTAACCTGGGTTCAATCCCCAGTATCCCATTTGGTCCCCTGAGCACTGTCATGAGTGATCCCTCAGCACAAAGTCTGGAGTAGCCCCTGTCTACCAGGTGTGGCCCAGGAAACCAAAAAAATTTCTTTCAAAATGAAAAAGTGGGCTTGAAGCAGGGCATGAAGCTGGCAAAGGAAGTTGGCGGTGTGAATTCAGCTTTCTGCTTGGCCTCCTACAGTTTCAACGCCAGGGGCTTCAGCAGACGCAACAGCAGCAACAGACAGCAGCCTTGGTCCGGCAGCTCCAGCAGCAGCTCTCGAGTAAGCTAAATTGCCTTCCCAAGGGGAACACCATGGAGTCAGTGGTGCAGTGGCGGGAGGGTTAAGGTAGAGACAATTGACATCCAACGTGTGATGGCTTCAGACCCAGGCATGGTGGGGAGCATCCCACTTCATCCTTCCCCTGGGTACCCAAATAGATCTTTTTTGATTCATGGTCTTGCTTGGGCTCCTACCCCTGAGACTCTCTCTCTTTTTTTTCACAGATACCCAGCCACAGCCCAGTACCAACATGTTCGGACGCTACTGAGCGGCACGGAGAAAACACCTGTGCACTGGACGTGCCCCACCCTCACCCCCAACCCCCTTTCCAGGCTAGCACCGGGATTGGTCAAGCCTCTTCCCTCAGGCTCCATTTTTATGCGTTTTTATTATTTTTGTTAATGTGAGGCATTGAGCTGTTGGGTTTTGTATATTATTTATATAGAGACCCCAAAACTGTTGCACCCAATACACAGAGCTTCTTTGCAAAGGGAGTGTGTTGACTTTTGCATGGCTGGGAAAGACAGCTCTCTGGAGAGCCCAGGGGGCTGGGCTAACAAATCGGCACCTTCATTCTGCTCCCCCACGTCTCCCTGTTTACCTTCCACCCACCACATTGTCTTTGCTCCAGTTGGATTGCTAGGCCCGGGCAATAGCTGAAAGGGTTGGAACACATGCACAGGTCCTAGCTTGGCGTTCCAAGTTCAATCCCCTGCCCCCCATGGTCTACCAGGAGCTGAGCACCACCAAATATGGCCCCCCAAACCAAAAAACCTGATTGGATGTCTCCTATGCCTGCCTGCCTACCAAACTTAACAGCATTATTTAGGTTTGGTCTCAAGCAGGACAGCTCACCTCCCGTCAGTGTTGCAGCTTGCTCTGTAAGGGGCTGTGTTGCTGGGATTTGGTGGAGGGGCCAAAGGAAAAAGCAGTGCAACCTGATTGTCCTACTCACCCCACAGGGTGGTTCCAAACATGCTGTAGGGGCTGCCTTGCAGTCTGGGGGTGACAAATATTGCTTATACCTTTTTTGCTGTCTGGTTTGATATCTGTCATGCACCATGCACCTGGACAGAGACCTTTCCTGTGAGTCACACTTCTGGGATGGGCGAGTATCACCATCAGAGAGGGTGGAAGGGCAATATAATTCTAGGACAAAGACTAGTAAAAGGAAGCGCCCTGGTCTCTCTTCACTTGTTGATGGGACCATTTGTTTTTCATATGACACTTCTTGGCAGTTCCATGGACAACTTAATCCCATCTGACATTCTGAGAACTCAGAAATTACTGTTGCAAAGTCACATATAGAAGGCATTCTTAGCTCTCCTCCCAACCTTCAAGTTTGGAGTCTTAGATGTAAGACCATTAAGGTCTGCCAGCTGGTTTACTACAATGGATTCTTCTTGTTGGGTTGATGTGGGGGAAATGGAAGAGGCAGGTGAGTGGTGTAGGCTGATGTCACAGCTTCAGAAAACCATCACAACCCTAAGAGCATGACATCACTAGCAAGTGTCAAGTGTGCTGGGAAAGCCAGGGGCACCAATTAATAACGCCCCAGCTCTAAAAAGATAAATAAAATAATTAAATCCTCTGAGGTCCAAGAAGCCCATGCTCTAGGAGACCTACAGGTTTAAGAGTTTGTGTGCATGCACAAGGAAGGGAACTCATTAACGGTGTGAGGCTACCACTACTAAAGTGTCCTCCCCAACTGGTCTATCCTGACGATGCCTCCAGAGAATAGGCTTCCTAGAACAAGTGGCGTTCAGAAGGGTAGGGGTGGAGGGAGACAACAGATCAGACAGGCACACCAGAAACTAATACAGCAGTTCAGAAGCATCCAAATGAGGAGGGGAGCATTGGATGGCCAGACAATTGACATACTGGCACTGTCCGATGTGCTCCAGTAGCAGCAGCAGAAACGAAACAGCTTTGACCTTTAGGAGAGTGACAGGACGAGGGCACAGTAGGGCATCCCCACCCCTACTGGTTGCTGCTGGAGTAACACTGGTGCTGGGGAGAGGCAGGGGACACTGAGGAAGGTGGGGGCACACTGGAAGAGCACTGAGGGCTTCTGTGGGCAGTGCCTCTGTTTCTCCCTTTGTTTCAAGGTCTTAAGCTTGGCAGATCAAGTTTGGAATTGCTGCCCAGGAAGATCACCTGTTTGTGACTTGAGGGGGTGTGGATGTGTGTGATGTGTGTGTGTGTGTGTGTGTGTGAGAGAGAGAGAGAGAGAGAGAGAGAGAGAGAGAGAGAGAGAGGGCGGGAGAGAGCGTGAGCAGAATGCTTGAGCAAGGGAGGAATTGGGCCATGCCCCAGGACTTGAGCCATCTATGGCACAAAAGGAGTTAATGGCAGGGACCGCGCCCCCCCGTGTCCGGGCACGCGCAGCGCGCCCCCTCGGTGCGCGGGCACAGCAGCCAGGCTGCCGGAGAGCAGATCTCGGGGATTTGGGTGCGGAGCCCTTGGCCTGGAGGCGATATGGGTGGTCCGCGGCCCGTTTCAGTCGCTCGCAACAGCCCGGGGAACAGGTGAGGCCGCCTGCCCCGGTCTCTCATTCGCCTGCTGCCCATCCCTTGCCCCATTCCTTATCCCCTCGCAATCCTGGGCTCCTCCACTCCCCAGTTAGTGCTCCCCATCCTTCTCTACCGAATGTGCTCTGATGGTAGGTACCCCAGACCCCCTCCCAATCTTCCCCTGCTTTGCTTCTTTCCTCCACTCTTCCTTGAATCCTGCATCCCTATCATCTTCCCATCCATCCGGCTGCATGCTCATCAAATATCCCTACTGAGGGAGCCCCCAACCTCATTCCGGTATAGCACATTGCCAGCAGGGGTGGGGGACCCCCGCAGTGCAGCCCCATCCCTCTTCTATAGAGCATTTCATAGCCAGGCTCCCTCCCCCACTCCCTGCAGCCCCCCTCCCCCAGGCCTTTATCCTATCCTCCCCCATTCCAATGCAGCTCTGTCCCCCAATACCGGTCTGAACCCGCGCGCAGCCCCACTACGGCAATTCTCCATCCTAATCTATTCCTGCACAATGTCCCTTGTCCAATGCTGCTCCAGCCCCTAGAGCCCCCGCCCCTTCCCCAGATGCCATTGCAATCCCTGGCAATGCTGCCTCCCTTGTCTTCTCCCAAATTGCAAGTTGGACCAGGATGGAGATCTTGGCCTTGGGGACTCACAGTAGGTCCTAGGGTACAGAGGGCATTTGGGGGTCGGTTGGTTTGTCTGAGTGTTCACAGGGGAGGGGCTTCAGGGAATTGACTCCAAGGGGACCGGCCTTTGGCAAGGAAGGGTTACTGTGGAGAGAGGCATCCTGAAGGTGTTAATGGAATTTGTGGGGAGGGGCAGCACCGAGGGGGTTAATGGTGGTGTTGGGGGGGGTGTTGCTGGCGGGGAAGCCGTGTGAATGAGCAGTCTGTGCCCTAGAGTTGCTATGGAGACGCTGAATGGGGGGATTGTGTGAACTCAGCTGCGGACTATCCCCCCCCCCATACACAGACACACAGATACACACACACACAATCTCTCTCTCATTTTCTCCCCCCCAACTCTCTCACTCTCACTCTTTATCTCTCCCTCTCTTCTCTCCTGCCCCACCTCCCTACTCCTACCCCTTCCTTCCCCTATCCTCTCAACCAGGGTGCTTTCTCGGCAATGTCTGGAGTCTAAACCCCCGTACTTTGCTCCCCATTTCCTCTGAGCACCTACCCCTTTAGTTGCTTTGCCAACCCCTCTTTCTTGCTCTTCTCTCCTTCTCTGTCTCTGTTTCTGTCTCTGTCTGTCTATCTGTCTGTCTCTTTCTGCCTCTCTCTCTCTCTGTGTCTGTGTCTCTGTCTCTGTCTCTGTCTCTCTCTCTGTCTCTCTCTCTCTCTCTCTCTCTCTCTCACACACACACACACACACACACATTCTCATTCCCCTCTCGTGGTGGCTGATTGTCAATTGTCGTGGGGCTGGGGCGTTCCCAATCTCCCTCCCCCACCTCTTCAGCCAGTTCTTAAAGGAGCAATCCTGCAGTCTTGGAAGGTGGAAGAAATGGGGGGACCCCAAATTGTGTGCATGTGTGTCCAGACGGGAATGTCTATATGTGCTTGTGTAGTTGCATTTGCTGTGTAACTGTGTCTTGAATGTGTTGCTCTGTCGATTTCTGTCCCCACCTATGTGTCACCAGTATGCTGCATATGTCTCTGGATATTTACCTATGCACTGTGTGTGCTTATATTTCAGTAAGTCTCTGTGTTTCCATGAGGCACTTTGTCTCCGAAGGTGGGGCTAGATGAGGGGATCTCCGCGGGTCTGAGATGTCTGTCTCTGTGAGTGAGCATCACAGTGTCTGTGATCACAGTGTCTGTGATACTGCCGTGGTTTCTCTTACTTCTTGAAGTCTTTGTGAGTTTTTTCTATAAGTTGCTGAGTATGTGTGTTTCCTCCCTTCCCCAAACCCACTCCATTGTCTGGTTCACACAGGCTGAGCATGGACAATGCTTAGGGTGCTCAGCAGAGAGGTTTCCGCCTCAGTTTGGGGCACTCTGTGTAATATGCGAGTGCCCATGGATGGACCAGGACTTGAGGATTGGGAAACAGTGAGGGTCCAGGAGGGGCATGGCAGGGCCTGGGGACCCTGTGAAGATCTGTTCTGTGCCCTGCCCCTCCTGAATTCTCACTTGGGGATCCTTTTCCTATAGACTGCTTTCCCTACTTATGCCTGAGACTCCCTGGATAAGGAGACTCTATCACACCCCAATGTGGAAATAGCTGTATTGGGTAACTGTATCCTGGCGACTCAAGGGCTCCAAGTTCACACAGCAAACCCAGGGACCTGAGTTCTATTTCTAGTTATCACCCCCACCCCAGCCACCGCAGCTCCCAGTAACACTGAAGAGCTCCGAGAGCTGAGGAGTTGAAACTGGGGACTGGCAACTTGCAGTGGCACTTCTGTCATTCTGTCTCTCATCCCCTTGGATTGTCTAACCATAGCCAGGCCCATAGCATGTTCTGATTGGGAAGCACCTCCATGGGTCCCGGAACTCACCAACGTGCGAGGCTTCTCCTAATGGAGGAGAAGAGCACAAGTCCTGCAGAGCCCTAGGGACCAACCAACTTGGATGACACGCACTTCCCTTTTTCCACAGGCCTGTCTGGCCCTGAGGGGGTCCCCTTTCTGAAGCTGTGGTGCTTGGACGACCTGCTCTCTGATCGCGGCATTGCTGGGCACGTGTATGTGTCCTTCGAGGGCTCAGTGTTGAGGTTCAAGTCAGTGTGGCCATGAAGGGGCTGCCTGTTAGGCTGATGCTGTGACCCAGGAATCTGCCTTCTTGCCACTCCCCTGCCCAGAACATGTGGCTGCAGCTGGGCCCACCCTCACTGTCCCTGAGCCCCAAGCCCACAGTTGGCTGGAGCCTGTACCTCACTCTGTGGTTCTTCAGCTTGGTGCTGAGGGCCAGCACCCAGGCCCCAGCACCTACAGTCAATACTCACTTTGGGAAGCTAAGAGGTGCCCGAGTACCACTGCCCAGTGAGATGCTGGGGCCTGTGGACCAATACCTGGGAGTTCCCTACGCCGCCGCCCCGATTGGCGAGAAACGTTTCTTGCCCCCCGAACCACCCCCCTCCTGGTCGGGCATCCGGAACGCCACCCACTTCCCTCCAGTGTGCCCCCAGAACATTCACACAGCTGTGCCCGAAGTCATGCTGCCCGTCTGGTTCACTGCCAACTTGGACATCATCGCCACATACATCCAGGAGCCCAATGAAGACTGCCTCTACCTGAATGTTTATGTGCCCACAGAGGATGGTGAGTGCTGTGGCCAGGCACTGTGTCCTCCCTGCCTCCCCTCCACCCCGTTGTGTTTGTGGCTGGCATGTGGTTGTGTGCCCTGCAGCATGCCTCTGTCTGTCTGTGAAGATGCTTCTAATCATCACTCTGCTTGGACCCCCCCTCCTCTTCTCCGTCCTTCCCTCCCCCGCATTGTCTGAGCTCCTACGTGTGAGTGACACTGGTACCAGGAGGGGCCTGGCCAGTCCTCAGAGCTTTGACAGGTCTAGGGCTGGAGTGCTGAATGGGGGTTCCCTGGGGGAGTACGGGTCACAGCTGGAAGAAGCCTGCGGGAGGATGCCAGCTCTGCCAGGCCCCCATGTTGCCATTCCACCTGCTTTGAAAGGTGGTATGTGTGTGGCCAAGGGTGCTGGGGTAGGGCGGTGGGGCTGGGGAGGGGGCAAGCCTGGTGGGCATGACTTAGGTGCCTCCTCTTTCATTAGCTGATACCTCCTCCCACAGGGGTGACACTAAGGTAAGTGACAGAAACAAGGAGATGGTGGGACAGGCTCTCTGCCATGTGCCACCTGCAGAGCAGCTCTTGGGGCCTGGGCGGGTGGGGGTGCATGCCCCTGGGCAGAGGCCTCCTGTTATTTTTTAGTTTTTTATTCATTTTACAGTAAAGCGGATTTCCAAGGAATGCGCCCGAAAGCCCAACAAGAAAATTTGTAGGAAAGGAGGTAGGTAGCGAGCCGGCGGGGAGGGACAGAGAGAGAGAGGGAGGGCTGCCTGCCCACCTGCCCTTGCCTCCTGAGAACCCAGCCTTCCTTCAAGTAGCCCAGGCTCAGGGGGCGGTTGGTGAGCAGTTGTTAGCTCCACCACATCCAAGGGCCCTGGCTTCTCTTCAGGGAGGATTTGGTGGCTCAGGAAGGTTCAGAGCAGAAGCAGCAGCCCTGTTTCTTCCAGTCTTGCCAGTCCCCAATTCCACCCTCAAGCATGTGCCAAACACAGAGCCAGTGCTTCTCTCAGAGACGCCTCAGATGAAACCAGGCAACCAAGATGGCACTGGAAGTTCTGCTCTTTCTTTTCCTGGTGGCAAAGCTACCAGCTCCCACTTCCTGCTTTTCTAGGTTGAAAGTCTCAGTTACCTCTCCAGCCCTAGGACTGAAACCAAACTTGTACACAGTCATCCCTCTCCCTGGCCCATCACTTCTGGCCAGAGCAAAGCTGAGTGACCCAGGCTAGTCTGGTGGTTCACTTTGGGCATCTCTGGATGGGCAAACTGTGAACTCAAAGCAAGAACATGCTCCTGGATTTTAAATTCCCCCTTTGCTGGGAAGAACTTGTACTCTCGTAGAAGAAATCTTCCTGTTCAAATACCACTTGATGTTTTCTGAAAAGTGCCTTTATGCTTACCCTCATAAGATCCTCTCCACATCTCTAGAGGGAAGCTTAGAAGGCCGGAATGTCAGCACCCTAATTTTATGGGTGAGGAAACGGGCCCAGGAGAGTGACTTACTGTGCATTATGGCCCCATTGCCACTCCGTGGGAGAGCTGGGGCCAAACCCTGGCTCTCTTGACCCTCAGAGCAATGTTCTTTCCACTGCAGCAGGAGGCAACTCCCATTTATTCATTCTCACCTCCCTAACTCTGAAAAAAAAAATGATGAACTCTGAGTGGGTTGGTAACAGCCTAAGGTACAGGCTGTGATCCCTGTGATTCCTGCCACACTTCAGCAAGCTTAGTGTTGGTTTTTTTCTGCAATGTTAGGCAAGGTTCCCCAGAATGGGGTGGCTAGAATTCCTACCTCGAAATTCACAGCTGAGTAAGAATGACAGGCAAAGTGCTGTGCCTCCCTCCATCTCCACGCCTCCCCCTGCCACAAATGTGTACATAAGGGATTTGGGATGGACATGGTTATTTTGGGGGGTGGGTCATCTCCAGAAGTGCTCAGGGCTTACTCCTGGTGGTGCTAAGGGAATCATATGTGATAGGACCCTGGTTGGCTACATGCAAGGCAAGCAAGCATCTTCCCCACTTTACTTTATCTCCTGGTCCCAATTCTGAGGATTTTGGATGCGCACTGAAGCTCTGGGTAAGCCTGATGTCCCATCAACAGAGAACCACCACCTTCCCACACACAGCCCCAGACCTTTCATACTGTAGGTAATGACTTTTTTCCCCCACAAATTAACAAGTGTTGTGGTGCTGCAGAAAGGATACAGGTCTGGGGCCAGAGTAATGGTACAGCAGACAGGACATTTGCCTTTCACACAGCCGACCCAGGTTCAATCCCTGGCACCCCATATGTTCCTCTGAAACTGCCAGGAGTGATCCCTGAGGGCAAAGCCAGGAGTAAGCCTTAAGTACCAGGTGCGGCAAAAAAGAAAGGGCACAAGTCTAAGAAACACAAAACTTGCCCAAATCTCAACTTTTCTCGTGAATCATGCAAAGACTTTTTCCTTGAAGAATATCTATTTTCCCATCTAGAGGGAGTAGGGTTTTCCCATTCCAACAGCTGAGCCATTTACATCAGTTCCTTTGCATTACCTACTTAAGGAGGTTGGAGGGTGGTCAGAGGGGAGACAACATTAGGAAGTTTTATCTCTCCAGCACCCAGAAAAGCTTAGGAGAGTTCAGTGCAGCCCAAAGAGTTTGAACAGAGCTAACTAGCAACTCCACTTGGTACAAACATTTAGCCATTGCAGTTATGGGCCTTGGGCAAGGCCTATGTTAAATACTGCTGGGATGTGAGGGAGAGGACAGATTTAGAAATGACTAAAGGCCCTATGGCTCCTCTGAAGAAGTTCCTAGCTTAGTACTGAAACTCAGCTGGTTTCCCTAAGCCCCACAGGTCAAGCCCTGGAGCAGGTTTCAGAGTGTGTGCCAAGGGCTTTTGATCATTTAGCAAGTCAGATCTGTTCCCTACCCAGGGCCTGTCAACCATTGCAAACAGAAATCCTGTCTCTTGGGTGATACCCATCCCCACTAGATGTAGAGGTTTCTCTCCATTTCATATCAACGTTTCCTCTCTCAGGCTAGGGTCCTGTGTACATGAACCCCAATTACTAGTAAATTACTAGTAAACCCCAATTACTAGGCAACCCCAGTGAAGAAGACTAGAGAGAAAGCTACATCTCCTATTTTATCCTGTGGGGGTCAGCTGACAGCCAGCTCGGCCTGCTCACTGGACAGGGGTAGTTAGGGTTCGTGTCCCTGGTATCCGACTCTGCTCCAGGAGGTCATCCACTTATCCATACATGCTGGGGCACAGAGGAAAGGCAAGGCAGACCTAGCTGGGATCCTGAAGCTGCAATGTTAAGGTCTAAGGGAGGCTGGGGAAGTTGGCCAGGAAGCAAGGCCTAAGATGAAGGACTATGAAAGCATCTGTATGGGGGAGACAGAGACCACACAGAACCATACACAGTCGGGTGAGGCAAAAGAACAGGGCTGAGATACGCCCACAAGAAAGGAAGGAACTCCTGGAGAAGACATCCCATCTCCCCACCAGCACCCCAATCATGTTGGAAGGAATAAATGTTTAGGCATGAGTGATTCCTCTCAGTTTGAGGGGCTTTCTACTGCGTGGTGGCTGATGCCCCATGTCCCACAGGGTTGATGAGGGCAGTATGGGCTGTGGGTATTAAGATCTTAGGTGCTTTGGGGAGCCTGAGATGCTTTCTGTCCTCCCTCCTCCCCAGGCTGGGCTCTTGCTTGAGTTGAAAAGCCATTTTGTAATATGAGAGCGGTCCCTGTTTTGATTAATAGCTGTAAGGGAATTCAGTCACCAGAGCCCAGAACAGCTGAGAAAGAGGGCTATTTGCCGTCTCCAGGCTAAGAGTAGCTGGTGTCATAGACAAGAGGATGGGCTGAGCCCCGAGGTGGCTGCAGAGTGACCTCTGCTTCCCTGATCAGCATCTAGACAGTGGCAGACGCCCCTTTTCCAATGACATTCTCAAGAGGTTCTTTGAAGCTCCTTAGAAAGGGAAGGAGACGTCCAGTAACTGGGAAGTTGTCAACTTACCCCAGATCCTAAATGTCGCTTTTCTCTCTAGTCTCTTCTCTGCTCTCCTGCCCTCCTTTCCCCTCCACACTCCGTGTCTTTTCTCATTTACTTTTCCCCATCCCTCTCCCCATCCTAGAAATGTGACATGGTGCAGTGGAAAGACCATGGGCTTTGAAGTCAAGCAGATATCACCTCTAGCACTTCCTAGCTGTGTGATCTTGAGAAAGTCACTTTACCTCTCTGAACCTCAGTTTCCTCATCAGTGAAGCAACAATGAAGATAGTATCTACCTCACTGGGGTGTGAGGATCGAACAATGTAGCAGGTGTAGAGTGCCTGGCATTAGATATTCAGTACATAGTACGAATTATTACCTCTCTCTTTCTCCCTCTCTCCCTCCCTCTCTCCCTATCTTCCTGTCTCTCCTTTCTCCCTTCCTTCTTTCCCTCCCTCCCTCTCTGGCTCTCTCTATGTCTCAGAGCAAAGCTTGTGATTATCAGGCTTGCTTCTTGTGGGCACGAACCGCATTTGCTATTAACCAGAGCAGGAGGTCCTGAGGGAAACCAGAGGGAAAGCTTCATCTTTCATATTCTGTGGGAATCAGGGTCAGCTGAGGCCCAGCTTGAGTCTGCCCACTGGACCCACGTATAACTCAAGGCTGAGGTTCGAGGTACCCGTTTGGTTTTGCCTCAGTAGCTCACATCCATATCTGCTCATGCTAGAAAGGCCACCTCTCACTCTCAGTACCTGCCCTGTTCTCTAGTGCAATCTACATGTGTACACACTTGCAGCCCCTTTTACCTGGGGGGAAGCCTCTTTCCTTGAGGGGGTCTCTGGCTCTGTGCCTTGGCCCACCTGCCGCTATCTTCCTCCTATCTGGGAGGGGAGTGGGTTCAGATGGGCTGCTGGGTCCAGGGAGGTGGGCCAGGGAGGTGCAGGGAGGCCAGCACTAGCAAGGGCCTGCCACACCATCATCCTGGAGGTCTGGGCCTCAGCCCACCCATTCCCTCAGTTCTCACCATCCCTCCTGCCTGTCCTGGGCCCAGGCCCAGAGCTGGCTTGCTGGGCCACACTGCAGTCATGCTGTTTTTGAATTCTCTCTCTGTTTTGTTCTCTGTTCTGTGCTGTTGTGTCTCCCCGTGTCTGGTCCCCAGGATCCGGCGCTAAGAAACAGGGCGAGGACTTAGCGGATAATGACGGGGATGAAGATGAAGGTATTTGGGGGCTGCAGGGCGCGGCAGCTGGTGCATGGCACAGAGCCCCTCCCCTTCTTGATGGGGAGAAGCCCCGTCTGTCTGTCTGTCCGTCTGTTGGTGTGTTTTTGTTCCTGTACAAGGCCGTTGGGCCGTGAATCCATCTTTGGCCAACTCGGCATCAGGGAGTGCCGAAGTGATGGACATGGCTGGTGGGAGCAGGGGACCACAGGCAGAGACATGGGGCAGGCATCCTCCACGCCCAGGTCCCCAGCCCCCCTCTCAGCCCTCCAGTAGAAGTGGGCACTGCCAGAGAAAGCTTCCTCCCCCAATCTTCTGTGGTTCGTGGGCACCTACCTCTACAAGCAGGAGGGAGAGTGGTGAGAACTCGGCCTAAGGGAGGGTGAGAGGTACAAAAAAACTGTTGGCAAGGAGACATCTGTTTTTCAAAGGTAGACTGGCCCCCAGGAGTGGAGCCCAGTGGGATATCAAGGAATGAAGTTGACCACCAAAGGGGTTGTGGCAGTACCGTCGCCTAGACCCTCTCCAGGTTTCTCCTCAGAAGAAAGAGATGACCTTGGGCTGCATTAGGTCCAGAGACACTGGTCCAGAGACACTGGGCCTGGTGGAGGCCAGGACACACAGCTCAGTCAGTAGAAGCATTAGATCTTGGGGTGACGGTTGAAACTGTCTTCCTTCCTTCTTGAGAAAATCTCCAGGCCTAGCCCTGGAGGGGTCAGTAAGCTCCCAGGGGGCCTACTGGTGGCTGGTAGGGCTGTGCTGGTGTAGCAGTGTTGGTCCAACTCCCAGACCACGAAGCTGCAGGTAGAGTTGAGCAGGTCAGGAGCCTGCTGGGGACTGCCGGCCCTGCGTGCTAACTGAGTGAGCCCCACCAGAAATTTGAAGGTCACTCACTGAATGGCCTCTGGGGGTAGGGGGGTTCTTCATCTTGCAACTGACTGGAGACAGGCTCTCCTTAGTTCTGCGTTGCCCCACCCCCATCCCCAGTATTTCCGGTAAAGCCTGCCTAATGTCCAGGGAGAATCGGGTAAATGAGCATATGGCTTAGAACCCTTGTCAATAAGGTTCCCCCCCCCATCTCTGCCATTCATTGCCCTTTCCCCACATCCTTCCTTGTTGTCTCCCTGTGCCACACCTTTTTACTACCCCTCTTGTCTCTGTCTGCACTGGGGGGGGCAGCTGCTGCCAATGGCCATATTTTCATGTAACTGGTTTAGTCTTGGGGGTTTCAGGCCTTCCCAACTCCCTACTTTTGAAAGCCATGTCAGGTCCCAGGACTCCTGGGTGCCCAGGGCAGGGACTCACTCAATACTGTCAGAGGAAGAGTTCTTCTGTTTCTTCCCAACCATGTACCCAACCCCCATCCTCCAGTTCCCAGGACCCTGCCATGGTCTATTTAGGCCTAGCTGTGTTAGGCAGACCTGGCTTTCAACTGAGGCTACCTGGAACCAGAGCCTTTCAAAACATTCCCGAGTCTAGAGGTCTATGTCCAGTGCTTGAGCCCAGGCTGAGCAACCCCATGAGTCCTGCCCTCAGAGTTAGTGGTGTCCTGGCACCTGGGATAGCTTTGATGCCCGCACTCCCACCCCCAGGGCTGGTGGGGGTTGGGGAGGAAGGGCTCCTACCCAGCCTATGTCTTACCCCTTCTCCTTGCAGACATCCGGGACAGTGGTGCTAAGCCCGTCATGGTCTACATCCATGGAGGCTCTTACATGGAAGGGACGGGCAACATGATTGATGGCAGCGTCCTGGCCAGTTATGGTAACGTCATCGTCATCACCCTCAACTACCGGGTTGGAGTTCTAGGTATGATTCCTCATTAGATGCCTAGAAAAAAGCCAAGATTGTCACTGAGAAAGGAAAGAGTGACTGAGGCTTCAAAAACTGCCTTGTTTCTCTAGTTACTGCTAACCACCCTGGTCAAGATGTTATCTCATAACCCTTTCCCAAGTGCTGGGAGCTTCTCCGTGCCCCCAGGCCATTTTCTAGTGTCTTCCCATGTCACTGAAATTTCAAGCAAATCTTCACTTTCTCTTAGGTTTCAAGCTAGTTTTCTGACTCCAAACTTCAGTTTGGCTCAGTTTTGTAAAGCTCATTTTTTCTAGTGTTGTGTGCTTATCCCTAAACAACCCCCCACCCCGCAAACGCCCACACATACACAGTCCTTCTAGCAAATCACATACCCATATACCCACATACCTTCACAAGTTCACACGCCCACACTCTCCCACATCCACTTCTATGCATATAATTATTCTGCATTTACCCCTAATAAACACACACATATTTCGACCTACATAGACCTCCCACATTCCCATCAATAGACTCACACACTCTCCATTGTTCTTTACATACTCCACACATATGTCCCCCCACATATTCACAGATCCATGTACCTCTGTACACACCACAGACATGCCCCACTTCTATAGATTTGTCTCGCCTTCTGTGTTTATAGACCCACACTCAAGTCCCCATAAATCTCTCCTTCTGTATCTCTAATATTTCCATGTCTCATGTCTCCACCCATAAACACTACACACAATCACACTCACACTTTTCTCTGCCCCATCCATAAGCTCTATGCATCTCAACATCCACATGTGAACGCCACACATCTACAACTTGAATACATATGCACATGTGCATACATATACAATATCTCCCTAAACATCCCACTTCTGCAGGCCCATGTACAGTCTCTCGATCAACACAAACTATTATTCCCCTTCACTATACACTTCTACACTAACCTGTACTTCCCCATCTCCCCCATTCCACACTTATCAAACATCTACAAAAAACTCTCATATCCCTGTTTCCACTCCTATATATACCCTGGGTACCATACCTCTATATTTATTCCACATGTACATATTCCTGTATATCATACATATATACCCCCCATATATATATTATACACAAAGGCATACTCTTTCCCCACACTCTGCAGATACATTCAATTCACACATATGTGCATGTACCCCCACCCACAAGTATATCTATACCCATACCTGCCATCTCTAATCAGACACACACCGCCCTCTTACCTTCACGCCTTACACTTTTGCAGCCTCCATACACATGTACATGCCTTCACTCTCTGTGCATACATTCCCATACACCCACTCCCACAGACTGGTTTATTTCCCCACGGTCTCCTCAGAAACACCCACTCACTCGTCCCCACACAAGTTCTGTCATCTGTATGCTCATCTCAGTGATTTAGGCTATCCCTCTACCCTGTACTTTCTTGGTGATTGAGAATGCCTCTCTGCAGCCAAGGTCTGGAAGTAAATGAGTGCCTTGTCCAGTGCCTTATCCACTGCCTTGACTGAATATATAAGAACTTGCTCCCTTTCAGATGTTCACCCAAGCCTCACAGGGCATGTGCAGCTCCATATTTCTAGAGGGGCTTAACACAGCCACTTAGCTTGAGGGTTTGTGTCCTCAGAGTTCAGGTGGGAAATCTAGACTTTTCTGAGCTCTAGAGGCTTGGGTGCAAAATCAGTGGTTAGGCAAGCCTCACTCCATGGCCAGTTGGCTACCACTATCTTGTCTGAGTTTTTCTTAGAATACATGGTTATAGTATGGTGTCTTGCATCTGGGTGTGGAGATGAGTGCAAAAAGCCCCTCTCCTTTTCACTAGCCCTTATTTATTACTGTGTGGATTGGTAAGACTCCTCTTTCAGCTATAGACAGGACAAATGATATTCTCTAAGAAAGATGAAAGCCTATGATCCATTCAGTGGCACCGGGATAGACAAGAGGGAGTAGCTCCACAGTCTCTCCACAGTGTCATGGGCTTTGGTTTCATGCTGCTGCCACGGCCTTCTCTCTTTCTGAGTCACCTCAGACAGCATAGCAAGGCTCTTGTAAGTGGTTCCATCCTGCTGAGAATGGAAATCTGAGTATCAGCCAGTGAAAACAGTGCTGTGAAGGTAGCTGTGAACCCACACATGAGGGCTGCAGAATTCCTGAAGAATAGTATATACACAGACATAATTATATCAGAAATACAGGTGTATACATTATAATTAAAGGCCAGATGTCATTTTGCCATTTTCAGTTCTAAGGTTTGATAGAAGAGATTCAATCAGCTACTTTAAAATATTATCAACACAGAGGAGGAGATAGAGTTGAGTGCAGGGCTTGCATGCAGGAAGTCCAGGTTCCATCCTGAGCACTGCCAGCAGTGACTCCCAAGCACAGAATCAGTCTCTGAGCATTTCTGGGAGTAGCTTCAAAATCCCACAAAATTAAAATTAAAAAATAAAACGTTTAAAGTATAAATACAGGGGCCAGTTCGATAGTATAGTGGGCAAGGAGCTTGCCTTTCGCGTGATTGATCCAGGCTCAATCCGTGGCATCACATATGATCCTCTGAGCACGACCAGGAGTGATTCCTTAGTACAGAACCAGTAGTAAATCCTGGACATCACTGGATGTGGCCCAAAGCCCCACCCCAAAGTATAAATACAATAAAAAATAAAGCTCTATTTTGTAAAGTTATTGGAAAGCAAAGCAATTAAATACTGAGACTGTGTTTAAGTTCCCTATTATGATATCAGCTAGAGGTGAAGAAAAAGAAAGAATAGAGAGGAGGGAGAGAAAAGGGAGAAAAGAAAAAAAGAAAGACAAGGAAGAGAAAAGTGGACAAATGTGATAAAGAGGCATAAAAGAGAATGGGCTACTTGTAAGATTGAAAATGTCAATTGAAAGTTGGCACACAGGGTCCGTATTTCTTCCTACTCTGCTAATCACTCCACAACACTTCAACTGCTCTAATATAATGATTCCTTATCAAGACCAAACAGTACAGTGGGTAAGGTGCTTGCCTTGCACATAGCCAACCTGGGTTCAATTCTGGCATCCCATACATATGATCTACTGAGCCCATTAAGAGTGATCCCTGAGTACAGAACTCTGAACATCGAAGGGTGTGGTCCCAAAACAAACGGAGGGGGAGGGGAGGGAGGTAACCCAAAACAAAACAAAAAGATTCTGTATTAGGGTTTGAGTATGGGACTCAGTGGTAAATACCTGCCTGCTTTGCATATGTGAAGTCCTGGGTTTGATCCCTAAGCACCCTTGAGCCAAGAGTAGCCCTCAAGCATCACTGGTTGTAACCTAATCCCCGCAAAAAGAACCTCCACTTTAACGACTAGAGAGATAGTTCAAAGGGCAGGGGGTCCAAGTTTGATCCTAACGCATTGTTAGGTGCACCCCCCCCAGTGCTTATTATCATTTAGATAACCATAATAGTCCATCTTGGGAAGGGTATAAATAATACTGGGGTGAGGAGATTTAAGCAGTTAATGATCAAAGTAATATCCAAACTTCAGGAGTCGCAAACTGAAACTTGGTTAGAAGTTCCCTGACAGATCCTGCTCCAGAACACAAACAGAACTACTAATCCACTGATTGTTTTTTTGGATACATCCAGGATGGGTTTATTTTTTAGTACCACATATAGAACTTGGGTTCGTCCCTGATGCTTGTGGATTTTGCTATGTAGTTGAAACTTTGCTTCTTTGTTCTTTCCCAAAGCCACCCAGAACAAGGGATCAGTTTTGGAGCCCCAATTAAATGTATTCACTCACCTGCTCTCCTACTAGTTTCTCTGGAGCACTGAGCACAGTAAACTCTTCACTTTAAAAGTATTTCTGGGGGCCAGAATGATAGCACACCAAGTAGGGCATTTGCCTTGCCGCAGCTGACCCAGGTTCAATCCCTGGTATTCCATATGGTCCTCCAAGCACCACCAGGAGTAATTACTGAGTGCAGTAATCTCTGAATCACTAGATGTGGCCCAAAAAACACACAAAAAAGTATTTCTGTAGGCATCTTGGGAAATTTCATGCATTTGGAGATGGTCTCAAGCTAGTCTATGGATATACATACCCTCCAGAGTGATGCACTGTTACGTAGGAAACCCTCAGTGGGCTTGAGAGACACAAAAGAAGAGGACTTCAACAAGTCTCAGGTGTAAATATCCCTCGGCTGAGGAAGTAGGGGCTTGCTAAGTTTTATTCTGGATGCCAGAATTTTTCTATTTGTTGTTTTTTTTTTATTTGGGAGCCTCACCCAACAGTGCTCAGAGCTTAATCCTGGCTCTGTGATAAGGGATATCTCCTGGTGGAGCTCAGGGGACTATTGTGGGGTGCTGGGTATCAAATCTGAGTTGGCAGCATATAAGGCAAACGCCTTACTTGCAGCACTATCTCTCTGATCCTGTGTTCCAGAATTTAATCTCACATTCTTTTTATAAACTTTTTTTTATTACTGTGAGATATACCCTTATAAAGTCATTCATGATTGGATTTTAGTCACACAGTATTTCAACACCCATCCCTCCACCAGTGTACATTTCCCAACACCAGTGTCTCCAGGTTCCCTCCCATCACCCTCCCACCCCCACCCCACCTTCCTCTGTGGCGGGTGCTTTTCTTCTCTGTCTCTTGTCTCTGTCTCTCTTCTCTCTCTCTCTCTCTCTCTCTCTCTCTCTCTCTCTCTCTCTCTCTCTCTCTCCCCCCACTACTTTTGGGCATTGTGTTTTTCAATATTGACACTGAAACGTAATCAAGATTATCTCTTTACCTACTTTTAAATGTGAGATATTTAATCTCACATTCTTGCTCAGGCATCCTTCAAGACTTGGATGTTACAAATATATGGTTTTGGTATGATGTACCAGATCCCCCTTCATATCTTTTGTTGGTAAGCTTTTATTTTGTTTTTATTTTGGGGTCACATTCAGTAATGCAGGGTCACTCCTAGTTCTGACCTCAGGGATCACTCCTGGGGGACCCAGGGGACCATATGGGATGCCCCAGATCAAACCGGATTGGTGTCTTGCAAGGCAAGCGCCCTATCTGCTGTACTATCACTCTTGCCCTGCTGATAAGCTTTTGGTTTGTTTATTTTGGATTTTGGTTTGGGGATCACTCCTGATTCTGTGCTCAGGGATCACTCCTAGTGGGGCTCAGGGGACCATCTGTAGTACCAGGGATCAATCCCAGGTATCCTGCAAGGCATTTGCCTTATCATTGAGCCACTACCCAGACCCATGCAAGAATCTTGAAGTCAGGGTAGTTGACAAGATTCCATCCATATGCTTTAGTGGCACTTATCATCTAGTTCATGGGATCCAAGGGAGCAGAGAGCAATAGGCAAATCCTGCATCCAAGCCCTTTAAATATTTGTTCCTAAAGCAGAAAAATCAGTACCTGGTAGAGAAATTTGCTGCCATCAGATACAGGTTCTTCCTGATGATCAGAACATACATATTTTACACATTTCACTAAACTTGGCAAAGGCTAACTGCAAGCCTTCTATTGCCCAAATAAGAGAAAAGGGCAGACGATGAGGGGGAAGTAAAGAGGAGGTAGCAAGGGGAGACAGGCTAGAAGAAGTAGTTAGTGATTTTTGCTGGAGGGTCTCAAGGCTTGGATGGCTGGATTGGATCTTGGTCAGAGTGCTTTCTCAGACGCACAGGAGCAGCTTTGGTTTGTGAATGGACCAGTAAAAAGTAGCTGGTTGCCTTATCTAGGGGAACAGGGGCTCCTCCTTGCATCCTTATTCAGGCTTTCTCTAATTCTTTCTCATTTCCTTATTGGGGGGCTGGAGCGATAGCACAGCGGGTAGGGCGTTTGCCTTGCACGCAGCCAACATGGCTGACCCGAGTTCGATTCCTCTGCCCCTCTCGGAGAGCCCGGCAAGCTACCGAGAGTATTCGATATGCCAGACACAGTAACAACAAAGTCTCCAATGGAGACGTTACTGGGCCCGCTCGAGCAAATTGATGATCAATGGGAGGGCCTTTATTTATTTTTTTTTATTTCCTTATTGGGAACCTGGAACTAAAGAGGGCTTGTGACAAGGTCCTGAGAGGAATAACTAAGTACATCTCATAATTAATTGTACCAAAGATAAATTAATAGCACATCAGAAGAGAGTGAAGTGAGTTCTTTTAAAGAATCTAGAAACAGAAGGCCTCAAGAAAGGCAGGGATGAGGTCTTGTGCCTGCTGAAGTCTATTTGAATTCAGTTCCTGCTGATGAACTGCCAGGGCTGCCAGAGAGCTCGCTGTGGGCTGAGGGAATATCTTCAAACATGGCCTCCCACAAGGTTCATTCCAGGTGCTACGAATGAGCTGGTAGCTGTGGTATTTAAAAATGCTGATGCCCGGTGTGGGTTTCCAATGAGGAGAAGCACCATAACTCCCCACCTGGAAAGAACCTCTCCGAAATTGTATGGCAGAAGAGAGCCTTCCAAGAAGCCTAAGACTTAGGGAAGAGAGATTAAATGAGGCAGCAGGATCAGTCTAAAATGGAAGCAGGGTTGGGGGAATATAGGACATCTCTGTGGGATAGTCAGCAGGTGGGCGGGAAGGTAGTCTCCATGGCAACAAGTCTCCACAGCAGCAAATCCCAGCAGGTGGGTGGGAAGGTAGTCTCCATGGTGACATGTATCCTCAGCAGCAAATCCCAGTGGGTGGGCGGGAAAACCTGTTTCTGTGGTAACGCACTGCACTGACTTCCTCATTTCTCCCCCGAAGGAAGAGATGGTCTCACCCAGTGATGTTCTAACCCAGTGAGGGCCTAACCCAACTTCAGTGGGCATAAGAATCACCTGGAGAGTTTAAGAATACTAATTGCTGGCCCCCATTCCAGAGTTTTGGTTTCATTAGGTCTTGGAGGAAAAGAAATGAAGACCTATGCTAAGACTGAGGAGAAAGGGCAATCTTGAGACCTTAGGGAAAAATATTAGAACTGGACTAACTTTCATAGGAAGGGCAAGGAGAGTTTAGTAAGCGTTACTTCTTGGAACACTTAGTTCATTCTGAGCACAAAGGAAAGGAAAGAGCAGCAATGACTGATTTGTAACATGCTAAGTATTTTATATATGGTCTGTACATTTTATCCGTGTTACAGTTCTTTGAAATACTTTTACCTTCATTTTGCTGAAGAGAAAACTATAACCCAGAGAATAATAAAAGAAAACTTGTCCAAGGCCACATGGCCACTAAGTGGGAGTACCAGATCTCAAACCAAGGACTGACTCGAGCATCCAAGCACCTTCCACTCAGTCAGGCCAGGACCTACGGTCATGTACATTCAGGTCGATAGTGCTGAGTCACAATCACTTGCTGTGGCTGTAGTTTATGTTTCCTAGCTAGAGGCGCACACTTGATTTTCTTGTGGTTCTTGGCCACACTTGGTCTTGCTCAGGGCTTACTCCTGGCTCTGCACTCAGGAATCACTCTGGGTGGTGCTCAAGGAACCATATAGGATGCCAGGGATCGAATGCAGGTGGGCCGCAAGCAAGGGAAGTGCCCTACCTGCTGCACTATCTCTCTGGCCCCAGAGGCATCCACTTCAGAGGGTCTAGAACCATCCTTCCAAGCTGGAGAATGGGGGAGAAGGAGCAGATCTTTACTCTACAGATGGTGCTGTGTTTTGCCCAAAGTAGCAATGGTGTATGTCAGCTAGGTGGAAAGAGTTACACTTTCTGCCTGTCCTATAGCCTCAGGCCCCTGACTCTGGTCAGCCATCTTAACTCAAATCCTCCATACCCTCTGATTTCACTGTCCTGCTGCCGTTTGTTAAATCCAGGTTTCCTGAGCACCGGTGATCAGGCCGCCAAAGGCAATTATGGGCTTCTTGACCAAATCCAGGCCCTCCGCTGGGTGAGCGAAAACATTGCCTTTTTTGGTGGTGATCCCCACCGTATCACCGTCTTTGGCTCGGGCATTGGCGCATCCTGTGTCAGCCTCCTCACACTGTCACATCATTCTGAGGGTAAGTAGTTCCTGGGGCAAAACCTGACCTGGCAAAGTGCTAGGACCCTTCCAAGTTCCACAGGACCCTCACCCTAGGAGCACCCTGGGGAAATCAGGCAGTCCTCTTTAACCTCTCAATGTGAGAGAGGGCACAAGAGAATCCCATTCTAATCCTAAGCAAGTCCAATTGTCCTTGTGGTGCAGGAGTCTTATTTGGAAACATGGGAGGAGAAAGCCTCTATCTGAAGGGACAATAATTATTTGGGGGCAGAAGAAATATTCCAGCTTGGGCAGGACCTGTGACTTCAGGGTAGAGAGCTCAGGCGGAAATTAGTTTTATAATAATGTCAAAAACACTCATTCTCTGCTGTTCTCTCTGAAGAGCAAGTCCATACAAGAGGGAACTAACTGTCCTTGAAGGGAGCAGATGGGCCTTGGAGTGAGGCTCGCTAAGCAGCAGAGTGGGATTTTTAGAGGTGTAGTGATATATGATTGGACTCCGGATCTCCTCTGGGACTCTACATTCCACCAAAAGGCGATCCCATTTTTATCCTCAAAGAAAGCCTGTTGTTTTGCAGTGAGTCTCTCTGTCAGGGAGTTTTCCAAGAGGCCAAAGAGGCTCTTTTCACTCCATAGGAAATGTTTTTTCCTCCTCTGAACCATGCGGCACATTCTCTGGGAAGCAAAGGTGAGCTTCTCACAAAGGAGAGATCTTTCTGAGAAATGTGCCCTTCTCTAAAGAAAGGAAGTATGTGAGAGAGGACAATATTTTTTTCCTTTGGGGCCCACACCTGGTGGTCCTCAGGGGCTACTCCTGGCTTTGTGCTTGGGAGAATCAATCCTGGCATTGTTTGCAGGACGGTGTGCAGTGCTGCGTATCAAATGACGGCCACCATGTCCTCCACCCTGTTGAGTTATCTCTGTGGCCCAAGAGGAGATTATTTTCATAAAAATTTTTTCATAGATGGTGTTGATTTACCCCCAGAACTGAAGATTCTCACAGAGACTTCATATTTGTCTTTGGTTTTGGTTTCTAGCTTTGGGGTCACCCCCAGAGGACACAGGAGTTGCATTTAGCTTGATACTCTGGAGTCATTTGGGGGGAGGGCTTGGGGAAGCATGCTGTGCTGGATATGATACCAACAACTCCCATATTCAAAGTATGTGCTCAGCCAATTGAGCTATCTTTCCAGCCCTCCATTTCTTTTTTTAATTGAATCCCCATGAGATACAATTATGAAGCCTTCATGTTTGAGTTTCAGTCACACAATGATTGAACACCCATCCCTCCACCAGTGTACATTTTCCACCACGAATGTCCCCAGTATCCCTCCACCCCATCCCTTTCTTCTTGAAGAAAGACTGTCTCTGCGCAAAGGATGTGTCTCAGGAGTAATGCACATGCCTCATATGTGTAACATTCTGCATTCAATCCCTGCCAGAACAGAAAAAGGCCTTTGGGGGGGTCAGAGAGATAATATAGCATATAGCGCACTTACCTTGCATTAGGGCAACTTGGATTCAATCCCCAGTACCCCATATGGTCCCCCAATCCCTGCCAAGAGAGATCTCTGAGTGCAGTCAGAAGACCTAAGCACTGCCAGGTGTGGCCCCAAACAAAAAGTAGCCTGTGTTTTTCAGAGAAGGGAGAAAAAGGGAGAGAGGAAAGGAGGGAGGGAGGAAGAGAAGGAAAGGGAGGGAGAGAGAGAAATTAGTTTTCTGGCCTAGAAATTATATCTCTGTCCCTCCAGGGACTATCCTGGTAAGGGAATACCCCATCTTAGAATGTGATTCTCAGTGAAGTAATGAGGATAAGAACCTCTTCCCACAAAGAAAGATGGAGTAATACAGTGTGATAGTGTTTCTCTCTCTTAAAGGAGGAATGGGGACTTCCTCTACTTGGAGACACTTTCCCTGGAAAGAACAGTTTCAAGGCTGTACTCTACCTCACAGGAGACCAGGGTCCTGGGTCCCAAGCTGCTTTAAACATCTATTCTTTCTATAATCACCATATGTAGAATAATCATCTTTTGAAAAGGGAAATTCTCTCTTAAGTAGTAATTTCTATTTTCCTTCCTACCCAAGCAAACTGCTTATCTCTGAGAGGAATAAAACTGAGTGCCTGATGGGTAGATGCTGGGGGAGGAGAAAATGATAACCTCCCACCACCATCTAGGATGGGGGCAAGAATCATCGAGTCTTTTGACCTGACCTCCCTCTGTAAGGGGAAAATCTGGACATTAGCCATCAGTGAGTTCTGGAAAAAGTCTTTGTGAAGGCTACAGAGTAGCCATCCTCAGTCCCTAAATCTTTCGGACCCCAGCCTTTTGCCCTTGGGAATCCTTCCCCAAACTCCCAGAATGTGAAACTGTCTCATGCCTGAATTTCTCATCTCTCATGAAAAAGACCCCTTTGTGGTAGAAGTGCCAGCTCCCTGGTGGTGTGCTGGCACAGAGCTGGGCCCAGCTGGGCAGGAAGCAAGGGGGGAAGACAAGGAGAGATAAAGAGAGAGAACATAAGGAAGCTGGTGTCTGGGACCCAAGGGGTTAATTCTTCCTGGCATTTCCTTAACTCCCAAGTTACCAACCATTGCCCCAGGACAAATAAGGCCAGAAGCAGGCAGAGAACCCTTCAGGGAAGGCATGAGGAAAGCCCCAGAGCCCTCCTTTGATTCTCACCTACCACCCCAGCCTAATGGATTGTCCCTCTTTCCCAGTCTGTCCTAACCTGAAAGCCACTTTAGTAACAAAGGAATAGGGAGGAATTTGATTTGTCCCTCAGACACAGGCAAGGAAGGCCTAGCCCTGAACTGTGTGTGACACAGTACTGACCTAGAACTGCCTGTCTTCCACAGGGCTTTTCCAGAGGGCCATTATCCAAAGTGGTTCTGCTCTGTCCAGCTGGGCTGTAAACTACCAACCCGTGAAGTATACGAGCCTGCTGGCAGACAAGGTGGGCTGTAATGTGCTAGACACAGTGGACATGGTAGACTGTCTTCGGCAAAAGAGTGCGAAGGAACTGGTGGAACAGGACATCCAGCCGGCCCGCTACCATGTGGCCTTCGGCCCTGTGATTGATGGTGACGTTATTCCTGATGACCCTGAGATCCTCATGGAACAGGGAGAGTTCCTGAACTATGATATCATGCTAGGTGTCAACCAGGGAGAGGGCCTCAAGTTTGTGGAAGGTGTGGTGGACCCTGAAGATGGGGTCTCTGGAACAGACTTTGACTACTCAGTCTCCAACTTTGTGGACAATCTCTACGGCTATCCTGAGGGCAAGGATACACTGCGGGAAACCATCAAGTTCATGTACACAGACTGGGCAGACCGTGACAACCCTGAGACCCGCCGTAAAACGTTGGTGGCCCTCTTCACTGACCATCAGTGGGTGGAGCCCTCAGTGGTGACAGCTGATCTGCATGCCCGATATGGCTCACCTACCTACTTCTATGCCTTCTATCATCACTGCCAGAGCCTCATGAAGCCAGCATGGTCAGATGCAGCTCATGGGGATGAAGTACCCTATGTTTTTGGTGTCCCTATGGTAGGACCCACTGACCTCTTCCCCTGCAACTTCTCCAAGAATGATGTTATGCTTAGTGCTGTCGTCATGACTTACTGGACCAACTTTGCCAAGACTGGGTAAGGAAAAGTGGGGGATTCTTCTTTATTTGGGGGGGGGACTCCCAGCTCTCCCCTCCACTCTGTTATGTAAGCCTATCTAATGATTCCCCACTCCTAAGATATTCCCCAAATCTAGCTCCCTTACCTGATGCCTTCTATTCCCTGCTGATAAGTCATTCCTACCATTCCTTCCCTCAAAAAATGTTGAAGCACTGAAATCAGTTCATGATTGGATTGAGTATGTATTGCATTCATAGCACAATTATGTGCTTCAAGGTTCAAGGGCCAGAGGCTGCATAGATGGGAATAAAGTGCATTTAGAAAGAGCCTTTAAAGGGCTCTTGGCAAAATTGGGCAGCTGAAAAGATTGGTGGCTGCTCAGTAATATGTGAGCAAAAAATGTGTCTATGGCTGGAGAGACAGTTCAGGGGTAAAGGCACTTGCCTTCCTTTCAGGTCAACGCTGATCTCCAGCACCATATATTGTCTCCAGAGCACCACCAGGAGTGACCCCTGAGCACAGAGCCAGGAGCAAACACTGAGCACCACTGGGTATAGGTCAGACACCCCCCAAAAAAGTTTTCTAGCATGGGTGAATGCACAGGCTGGATGGTTTCCCTGACACTGTGGGACATAGAAAGAAGTTCAAAGCCTGGGGCAGAAGAGCAGTATGAACACAAGCAGGGACTCTGAAAAGTATTGAAATGGGAGGAGGAAGTTTTGTACTGGGGAAGAGGCTTGGGATGGGTGTGAGATGCAGAATGCTTAACCCCGGATTTTCATGTGCTATTTCAGAGATCCCAACAAGCCAGTACCCCAGGACACCAAGTTTATTCACACCAAAGCCAACCGCTTTGAGGAAGTGGCCTGGTCCAAGTACAATCCCCGAGATCAGCTCTACCTTCACATTGGGCTGAAGCCAAGGGTCCGAGATCATTACCGGGCCACCAAGGTGGCCTTCTGGAAACACCTGGTGCCCCACCTCTATAACCTGCATGATATGTTCCACTACACGTCCACTACCACCAAAGTGCCGCCCCCAGACACCACCCACAGCTCCCACATCACCCGCAGGCCCAACGGCAAAACCTGGAGCACCAAGCGGCCAGCCATCTCTCCTGCCTACAGCAACGAGAATGCACAGGGGGCCTGGAACGGGGAGCAAGATGCAGGGCCCCTCCTGGTGGAGAACCCTCGTGACTACTCCACTGAATTAAGTGTCACCATCGCTGTGGGGGCCTCACTCCTGTTCCTCAATGTTCTGGCCTTTGCTGCCCTCTATTATAGGAAAGACAAACGGCGTCAGGAGCCCCTGCGGCAGCCTAGCCCTCAGAGGGGAGCTGGGGCCCCTGAGTTGGGACCTGCCCCCGAGGAGGAGCTGGCAGCATTACAGCTAGGCCCCACCCACCATGAGTGTGATGCTGGTCCCCCCCACGACACACTTCGCCTCACTGCCCTGCCCGACTACACACTGACCCTGCGGCGTTCCCCTGATGACATCCCACTCATGACTCCCAACACCATCACTATGATCCCCAACTCCCTGGTAGGGCTGCAGACATTGCACCCCTATAACACCTTTGCCGCGGGATTCAACAGTACTGGGCTGCCCCACTCACACTCCACCACCCGGGTATAGCTCCAGTCCAGAGCACGGCCTCTCTCCCAGCTCTCTCCCTCCTAGATCCATGAACACACACACACACACACACACACACACACACACGGACACGGACACACGTATATGTGTGCACACACAACAACAACACTTGACAGCAAACACCTACACAGACATCAACAGATGTGGACATGCGCCCGCATGTACAAAAACACCAACATGGAAGTAGACCTAAATAAGCCCTCCCAACCGGGACACAAATGAGTCCTTGGGAAACCTAGGACCCACGGAACAGCAGCCCCATGAAACAGCAGCTGAAGCAAGCTCCCCAAGCCTGACCACAGACACTCCCGGGGGACCTAAAAGCACCACCTGGACACCCCCTTGGTGCTCACCTTCTGCTCTGTTGGAACTACATCAACTACCAACTCCAGACTTGGGAACTTTCAAGAGCAGAGTAGCTCTTTCCTCCCCAGACTTGGCATTTTTCATGGGTCTTATTTTGGGTGATTTTAAAACAAGTTTGGAAGAAAATCTCCTCGACCTGCAAGTGCTTAGAGGCTCCAGCAGGAAAGGTTTCAGGCCCAGGTTCCTCTGGCTTGGGAAGCCCCCAAGTGCTCACACAATTCAGCCAAGGAACAGGATCCTGAGAAAGAAAGCAATTCGAGCAACCCGAGGGTGGAAGGAGGAAGGGGATCCCACTGGATGGGGTTGGAGGGCTCTCAAGCCGTGTCTGTGCCCCCTGAAGGATTGTAGAGAGAAGGCACAGGTTGTCCCTGCAGGCCCCTTTGCCAGAAGCCAAGTAGGCCTGGCTAAACCAGGGAGCCTGAGATTTGGTGATCCAGGTTCTGTGGAGGCCATGTCATTATCGGGGACCCTGGGTAGAATCTGGGTTTTGCCTCTGTCCTTGGGGATAACACTATCAGAAATTTGCCCATTTTCTTTACAGAGTCTCTTTTGTGTCTGTCATTTCTCTTTCAAAAAGGCGGTGTTTTTTGTTGTTGGCTTTTTTTTAAAGAAAAGTTCTTAAAACACTAACGGAAACCCATGGAGTTTGTCCTTTGTAAAAATTTTAAACACAGTGTCTTGATATAAAAATAAAAAATCCAGTTAGCACTCCCAACCTGCCTCCCTTGCACAGGCCTTGCCCCGACAGGCTTCCCAGCAGGGTATTCGACAGAGGGCGGGGTTAGGGGGGCTAGGAACCCCGCCTCTCTCTGTGTTTCTCCCCACCTCCATCCTGCCCCTAACGGTCTGGGTTCATGCAGCTGAAGCTGAAGCACTGTGGACCTAATGAACGGGCAAAAAAAAAAAAACTTCCATTACTGCTGCCACTGCGCAGCCGCTGCCCCCATCCCCCACGTCTCTGCTCCTGCCTCTGCTGCCCTCCCGCCCGCTGCTGCCACCTCCCGCCACCGTCAGCATTATCTCACCATCCTGCCCTCATCCAGTACCAGGGGGCTGGGAGGAGGTTTGACCTCTAACATGCTGAAATTCTTTCTCGTGTCAGAACACCAGTACAGTTTCAGATGTGTGGACTCTGGCCTTGACAGAGTTGGGGGCCCTCTCTTTCCCAGAGATATTTGCTTCCTGTTGTTGTGACTTAGAATGGGATAAGTAACTGGGAGCAGGGAGCAATTGCTCTTCAGGATTGTGATCAGTGACTCACTCCCTAACCATACCAAGGCCAGATTCAGTGGAGCTCTAGGTGAGCAGTTTGGGATTTTATTATGTTCTCAGTGATTTGAAGGACTGAAACAGAAGTGTGACAGTTGGGTGCCCTTGCTGACACCTCAGAAATTGGGAGTAATACTCTTCAAAGTGACCCTGAGAGGGGCTGGAGCCGTAGTACAGCAGGTAGGGCATTTGCCTTGTATCTGGGTGATCCGGGTTCGAACCCCCAGATCCCATATTGTCCCCTGGGTACGACCAAGAGTGATTCCTGAGTGCAGAGCCAGGAGTAACCCCTGAGTGTGGCCAGGTACATCCCAAATAACAAAACAAACAAAGAGCAACAAAACAAAAAACAATGGGATCCTGAGAAAAAAAGAGGGAGACAAACTAATACACCAAGAAGATTTTCACAGGAGAAAACACATGGTGGTTCAAAGCCCCAAGCTCAGAACTAACATATAAACATGGGACCTGGGCACAAGAGAGATGGGAAAGGTCAGAGAGATTGTAGAGCAAGTAAGCAGGCTGTCAACATGATCCCTGGTAGGGTATGGTCCCCTGAGCCCCGCCAGGAGTGATCACTGAGTACATAGTCAGGAGAGTGTCATGAATAAGGTCAGGTTTGGCCCAAAAACTAAGACAGGGAGAGAACGAGAGCAATTATGGACTTGATAAAAGGGCAAGACACCCATGAAAGGTTGTCAGTGTCGGCTACAAATGGAATGAATCCCTAGTGTACAATTGTTTTTCTTTTAATTTTTTTTTTGCTTTTGGTTTTGGTTTTTGGGCCACATCATTGATGCTCAGGGGTTACCCATGGCTCTGCACTCAGAAATTACTCCTGATGGTGCTGGTGGACGTTATGGGATACCAAGGAGTAAACCCAGGTTAGTCCAGTGCAAGACAAACACCCTACCCGCTGTACTATCTCCCTGATCCCAAGAATTGTTTTCATACCACTCTGCCCTCCTGCTTTTTTCCTTCTTACTTTCTAAAGCTAATATTTCTAGCATATAACAAAATATAGTCTGAAGATGCAAGGAAAAAGATTCTGCATTTTAGAATTTAAAATAACCTCAAAATCAGCTCGTGCAATGGGCAAATGGACCGAGTAAGCCCATTACAGCTAATGTTCAAAAAAACTCTAGAGAGCTGGGATGTGCTCCACTATAGAGCACTTGCCTGGTATATGGACTGTCGCCGGAATTCAATTTCCAACATTGCAAAAAAAGATAAAATTTATGTAAAACAATCTAGCAGTCCACTAGTACACAAGCTTTCCCCTGGCCCTTAACCTTTCCTCCTATGCCCAGCATTGGTTAGGCTTCTGAATGCAGTAACAGTGTGTACTTAGATAATACATTCTCAACATATGTGGAAAACCTGAGGAGTTTGGAGTAGAGCAAAAAAATGTGCCAGAGAACTAGGCTTTTAAGGGGCCAGAGCGATAGTACAACAGGTAAGGCATTTGCCTTGCACACAGCAAACCTGGGTTCAATTCCAGCATCTCAAATGGTCCCCTGAACACTGTCATGAATAATTCCTGAGTTCAGAGCCAGTAGTAACCCCTGAGCACTGCTGAGTGAGCCTCCAACTCCCCTAAAAGACAAACAAAACAATGAACAGGGCTTTTTAACTTTAAAAGGGGATTCAATGATGAGGAAATACTCAGTAAGTGTGAAGCGACTATGTAATATATTAACTATTACCATCTACAACATTTTAACTTCTAAGGACAGAACAGGTGAGCTACTGTCTGTTTCTTCTGAGATGGATAGAGGAGAAAGGGACATGAAGTTAGATACGGTGAAAACTATAGATTGGTGATTACTCTGGTGCCCAAGAAGTTCTCATTAATACTTGTCAAATGGGACAAATGACAACTAAGGAAAATACTGGGGTTTTTCATTTTCGGGGGATGTTGGTCATCATAACTGATGGTTCCCAGGCCTCAATCCTGGCTCTGTGCTCAGGTATCATTTCTGACAGTGTTCAGGGAACTATATATGGTCGCAGGGACCAAACTGGGGTTGGCTGTTCAGCAAGGCAAATGCCTTCCTTGCTATACACTCTCTCCAGCCCCCTTCATCTTCTTGAAGCAGGAGAGCTGATTGTATGAGCTTTTTGGCCCAATTCAGAGTTTTTGTTTTTATGACCTTTTGATTGCTCCATTGCAAATATTACCCAACTGGACCTCATGTTCTGCAATATATGTATACCTTCAAATAAGGAGGCTGCCAATTTGGGGAGGATTGTTTCTTGTCTTTGCTCTAAGAATTCTAGGTGTTATAGCTAACTCAGCCCCAATCCTATTTAGAACCCATCAGTGAGTGATTCCACTTTTGTCTTCGAACCATTGAAAGTTCTGGTGAAAGAGGTTACCTGTAAGACAGGATTTCTGACTAACATTCTATGCTATGCCCTGGTGGTTTTTGTGAACTTGGCCCTGTTGCTACTGCAAGCCCAACTCATTGTTTGAAGAGGGACTGAGGGTACACTTGGACTTTAGTACATATTGCAAGAATGATTCCTGGGAGACATAGAGATAATATAGCAGGTAAGACACTTGCCTTGCTTGTGGTCCATCCAGTTTTTACCACATATACCACATATATTCCCCTGAGCCCCACCAGCAGTGATTCCTGAGAACTGTCAGGTGTGGCCAAAAACAAAAATAGTCATCCCTGACTTAGGGATTGGCTCAAATGTTAGAGCCTAAGCCTTGCATATATGACTCCCTGGGTTCAATGCCTGGCACCGCATAGTCTCCAAAATACCCCAGGAATTGCCATGATGGCTCAAAAGAGAGTACTGCCAGGAGTGGAACCCACAACAATAAAAATTAAAGTTAACTCATTAAAAAGCATTCTTCCCTTGTCTCTGAATCAAGGCCAGCAGTTTGTCAAAGATGTTGCTTACAAGCAGGAATCTAAAAAAAAGTCTTTGTATAGTCTGTTAATAATTTCAGAATTTTGGAAATTCATTAGAAATAGACATTTGAATAACAGCAGGGTCAGAGCCATAGTGCAGAAGGTAGGCCTTGCATATGGCCAACTTGAGTTTGATCTCTGGTACCCCATATGGTCCCCCAGGCCCACCAGGAGTGATTCCTGAGCACAGAGCAATTAATAAGCCCAGAGAATAGCCGGATGTGACCCAAAAAATATTCTTTCCTATGGGCTGGACAGAAAGTACAGTAGTTAAGGTGCTTGCCTTGCATGCTACCTACCTCAGTTTGATCCCCAGCATAACATATGGTTCCTGAAACATCTCTGATTACCTTCAGATGTGGCTTCCAAACAAAAACAAAGTAATTCCTCCCTAGACTATGTACATTCTGCATCCCTAGATTTATCTAATTTCCATTTTAATTCTTTGTGGAGCTGGACAGAGCTATGATAGGATATGAACTTGGGGGCATAGAGAGGGCCAGAGGTTGGTTGCTATGGAAATCTCTTTAGGAAGATAATATATTCATCAGGAATATAGACCTGGCCTTTTGATAGTTTATATACAATGAGGCATAGAAGATATCTTGGGAGCTGGAGCCACTGTACAGTGGGTAGGGCATTTGCCTTGCACACAACCAACCTGATTTTTATCCCTAGTACTCCACATGGTCCTCTGAGCCCTGTCAGTAGTGATCTTTGAGCAGAGAGTCAGGAG